TATTATTATTATTATTTATACACACTGCGCCTCGGTTACTTCCTCCCACCCTCCGTCTGCCGCCCCTTCTTCGCCACCGTTTTTCGTATAGCATTAGATTCCGCCGAGAGATTTTCAACCGTTTTTGGCGGACTGATCCGCATGAAAGATGAAAACGTGACACCGCACGCAATACCGTCAAAAGTATACAATATCATATTATTAATAATAGACTATTATAGGTATGTCATTAAAATCTGATACACATACTTATATCATGTTGGTAATCCTGTAATAATTGCAGTGTGTATCGTCGTACCATTATGACGTTATAGGTATAATATTTTAATAAGGAAGATCGTAAAATACGTTATTAGAATATCGTTAATATTAATATATTACGTGAATCACAAGGTTTATATACATCGCACGATAATATATATATATGCCTATATCATACATGGGTAGGTTTGATAATAAATATTAATATTATGATCTATAATTGATCTAGGAATAGTCTTAATCGTGTACAATAATTTTTACAACACAATATATACGAGTTATTTTAATAATTTTAAATCTAATTTTCGTCTGATGTCATATAATATCATATATTATCAAACACATCGTAATAAAAACAATAGTGTAGGAAGGCATACATAATATAGAGACAAGGCAGATCCGCGGACGGTCGTCGGGTAGTGTCGATCCTATACCATTCAATAAGGTCTCCAGACCGCCGAGTGGTCAGTCGCGGCCACTGCCTGTTGGGTGGGCCTCTGCACGGCGCCGCTGACCTGCAAATGATCATCGCCTCCGTCGTCGCCGGGTTGGTGGTAGTGATGGTGGTGGTGATGATGTCTGGTTGTGTTGCCGGCCGCGGACGCGTGGTACAGCTGAGAGTATAGTTGCAACGACGCCGGTAACTGCATGCCCGTCGTCAAGTGACCGCCGCCGTGGTAACCTCCACCGCCCAGTTGATCGTAACCATGCGCGTGGCCGATGGCCATCATGTCGTCCGTAGACCCACCGGGCCCGGTAGGTGAGTCGACCGGGGACCCGACGAAGTGGACGGGTGCAGGTCCGGCGCCGGCGGGGGCATCGACTGGTCGTTAACTGTCGTYTGCTGTTGCTGGTAACCCCTGACCGCCGGGAACCCTGTACGGTCGTGTTGCTGGTGACAGTTGGACGACGACGACGACAGCAGCAGTTGATGTTCTAGGTCGCCTGGCCCGTTGGCGGTTGGCACGGTCGTGTCCGCAAACGGTGGCATCACTTTGAATAGGAAACAAAAACAATAATACGCGACGCGTTCTTAGTCTGATTATTATCATTATTCATTGTTTAAAAACTATAATGTGGTTATTGAGATATAATAATTTTAATTTAAAATATTTCAATAAAAGAAAAAAGGTGCAGATAGTTTAAGCTGCACAATCATCATAACATGTGACCCATACATGTATATATTGTGTATAGTATTTAAAACAAAAATATGTACATATTTTTACATATTTAAATTATTAATTCAATATTTCTTCCCATATTAATTTTAAAAATTTAAGATTTACCTACTTATTTATTGTACATTGCCTATAGTGTCTAATAACTCAAAAAAACTCGAATTGTAAGTTGACTTCATAAACAAGTCAAATTAATAATCAGTCATTCAGTCCGACYATTTCAAAAGTCCGATTTTAAAATCATATTGATCTTTAGTAGTTATTATTGTGTACATGCTAGGAAATGAAAAGAGAATCACCACACATTTATCTGAATGTTGATATGAGAGATGGTTTGAGAGAAATAAAATCTTTAAGGGAAGTTAGCTAAATTATTTCAGATGAGGTAGATGATTTAATCAACGTTTACACATTACCGCAAGAACCTACGTCATGCAAACGAAATGTAATGCAATTCGATGTAAATTCACTAATGAGTTAATAATAAATATTCGGACAAAATAAAAAAAATGCATAATGCATAATTCGAATTAGGAGGTAATAATATAGAATAATATTATATATAGTTACCGGGGTAACCACATATACCTACGAGCATAGGCATAAAGTTGGTGGGAGTGGCTAAGGGGGCTTAGCCCCCTATTATTCTGTCCATGTATGAGAACTGAATCACTGCTTTATTTTTAAAAAGGAAGGCTATAGCCCCCCCCCYTWWWAAWT